CGAGAAAGAGACAGAGAAAGAGAAAGAGAAAGAGAAGAACGAGAGCGTGAACGGAAATTTGAATTAGACAAATTAGAAAGACAAGAGCACTTTGAGTTAGAGAAATTAAGATTACAGCAGAAACCAGAACCCTCATTTGTCAAGAATGAATTTGATGCAGCAAAAAATATTAGGTTAGTTCCGAAATTTCAAGAAAAATCTGTAGATAAGTATTTTCCCCAATTCGAGAAAGTCGCAGAAAATCTTAAATGGCCACAACACGTTTGGTCAACAATGTTACAAAGTGTACTGGTTGGCAAAGCGGCTGAGGTATACTCTGCACTAGGGGTAGCTGAAAGTTCAGACTATGAGAAGGTCAAAGCAGCAATATTAAAAGCATATGAATTAGTACCTGAAGCGTATAGACAAAAGTTCAGAAAGTATAGAAAGTTTGATAATCAAACATTTGTTGAATTTTCACGAGAGAAAGAAGATTTATTCGATCACTGGTTTAGATCTAAGAAACTTGATAAAACTTTTGCTAATTTGCGCCAAGTCATCCTGGTAGAAGAGTTTAAGGAATGTGTTACTCAAGATTTGAAAACACATCTAGAAGATAAGAATGTGAAAACTCTTGAAGAGGCAGCAGTCATATCTGATACTTATGCTCTGTCTCATAAAAAGAATTTTGTATCAAGATCTCAGACTAGCAGTAATTCTACAAATTCAGACACATATAAAAAGAGTGGTTCAGGGTCTCAGTCTTTCACAAGTTCCCAGTCTCCATCCCAAGGTGGTTCTAAGTCCGGTCCAGGACGTTTTGAAGGGTCTTCTGGAATAGGGTCGCTTCCTACTTGTAGTTATTGTAAGAAAAGGGGTCATCTGATCAGTGAATGCTTTAAACTTAAGAGAAAAAATGATTTTGACAAAACTCAACCACATGCTTGTGCGGCATTTAGAGGTGATAGAGAAGCCTTAGTTTCGATTTGCTCTGACACTCCTGATGTCCAGGGTTCACAGTCCAGTTCTATTGATTCTATGGAGGATTATAAGCCCTTTATGTCTCAGGGATTTGTTTCACTCGGTGACTCTAGCGAAATAAAACCTGTCCAGATTTTGAGAGATACTGGTGCTGCACAGACGTTATTGTTAGAGGGCGTGCTTCCTTTGTCTGAGCAGACTTCTACTGGTGGGTCAGTTTTATTACAGGGTGTGGAGTTAGGCGTCATTAATGTTCCCCTGCATAGAATTAGTTTGAAGTCAGATTTAGTTACTGGACCTGTTATCGTAGGTGTTCGACCTACTCTTCCTGTTCCGGGCATTTCTTTGTTGCTAGGCAACGATTTAGCTGGTGGAAAAGTTGTACCAGATCCTATAGTTTGTGAGAAAATCACTCCAGATGTCATGTGCGATGATGAAGATGATGACATTTATCCAGCCTGTGCTGTTACTAGAGCGATGGCCAGAAGACGAGAAATGGAGGCAGACCATACTCAAGCCTTTGACGAGACAAATTCCTCTGTTGATATTGATTTGAATGACACTTTCTTATCTGACCTTGATGGCACTCAAACAAGCATGGAACCACACAATATCAAGAAGCAAGAGAAGAAAGAACTGTTACCAAAATTTGGTGGTGAGGATGATGAGTTGCATCCACTAGTTAGCCAAGGCAAGGACATCCTCAGCCGAGAACGTTTACTCTCTGAACAACATAGAGACCCAGATATCATTCAACTTAGTAAGAGGGCACTTCCACCAGAAGAGGCTACTAAAGTTGGAGAATGCTTCTATATGAAAGATGGCATCCTTATGCGAAAATGGCGACCACCTGACGCTTCCCCAGATGAAGTGTGGCGTGTTGTTCACCAGATAGTGGTCCCAGCTGCTTATCATCGAGATGTCATGAGTTTAGCTCACGATACACCTATGGCTGGTCATTTAGGTATCAATAAGACTTATAATAGGATTTTGAGTCATTTTTATTGGCCTAAGCTAAGGAAGGATGTTTCTGAGTTTTGTAAGTCGTGTCATGTCTGTCAGATGGTAGGTAAACCGAATCAGAAGATACCATCCGCCCCTCTCCAACCAATTCCAGCTTTTGAAGAACCGTTTAGTCGAGTGTTGGTGGATTGTGTAGGACCTTTGCCTAGGACCAGATCTGGGAACCAGTATTTACTTACCATTATGTGTACATCCACTCGATTCCCTGAAGCCATACCTCTTAGGAATATAAAGGCAAAGAGCATAGTTAAGGCCCTAACCAAGTTCTTCAGTTTTGTAGGAGCACCAAAGGCAATTCAGTCGGATCAAGGCTCAAATTTTATGTCGGGGTTGTTCCAGCAAGTCATGCATGAGTTGGGTATAAGGCAATACAGATCAACTGCTTATCATCCTGAGTCCCAGGGAGCGCTAGAACGTTTTCATCAAACCCTAAAAACAATGCTGAAGACCTATTGTTACCAGTATGAGAAAGACTGGGATGAAGGGGTTCATCTTGTACTATTTGCTGCACGAGAAGCAGTCCAGGAGTCTCTAGGATTCAGTCCTTTTGAATTGGTGTTCGGTCATACAGTTAGAGGTCCTTTAATTTGAAATTGTTAAAGGAAAAGTGGCTGACTGAGACTAGTGATCTTAATCTTTTAGATTATGTGTCTGATTTCAAAGAAAAACTTTACAATGCTTGTAAATTAGCACAAGAAAATTTGAAGAATTCTCAGATGAAAATGAAAATGTGGTATGACAAAGATGCAAGAAATAGGGTGTTTAAGCCAGGTGATAAGGTTCTTGTATTTTTACCTATTCCTGGTCATCCTTTACAGGCCAGATTTTATGGCCCTTATGAAATTGAAAGCAAGATCAGTGATGTAAACTATGTAGTTAAGACACCAGGTCGACGTAAAGAGAAACGGGTTTGTCACATCAACATGTTAAAAGAGTATTTTGAAAGGTGTGACCGAAATTCTGTAAAACCAGTTTCCACTTTAGCCAATGCTAAGACTGTTCAAAATTGTATTGAAAGTGATACGAGTGTAGAGATGAATGAGAAAGATTGTAATCAGAGTGTTCGTTTGAAAAACTCAGAAGTTTTGGCTAATTTGGATGCCAAACTTGGACATTTGAACATTCACCAAAAAGAACAAGTTAAAAACTTGATGAATGAGTATCATCAAATCTTTTCGGATGTTCCAAAGAAAACTAATGCAGCTTGTCATGATGTCATAGTGAGTGACGTTCTGCCTATCAAACAACATCCGTACCGTCTGAATCCAATAAAATTGCAGTACCTAAGAAGGGAAGTGCAGTACATGTTGGACAATGACATTGTTGAACCTAGTAAAAGTGATTGAAGCTCACCATGTATTCTTGTACCAAAACAGGACGGTACCTACCGATTATGTACAGACTATAGAAAGGTGAATTCTGTTACCAAAACTGATTCATTTCCAATACCTAGAATCGATGACTGTATTGACCGCATTGGAAACGCCAAATTTGTCAGTAAATTTGACCTGTTGAAAGGCTACTGGCAAGTGCCGTTAACAGAAAGAGCAAAAGAAATATCTGCTTTTGCTACACCAGATGGACTTTACCAGTATAAAGTAATGCCTTTTGGCATGAAAAACGCACCGGCTACATTCCAAAGGATGATTCACTCCCTCCTTCAAGACCTCGAGGGATGCGAGGCCTACATTGATGATGTCGTCATATACAGCGACACATGGGACGAACATCTCCGAATCATGCGTGCTTTATTTGACATTTTAGCTAAAGCAAACTTAACTGTGAACCTTGAGAAGAGCGAATTTTGTCATGCATATGTAGAGTATTTAGGTCATAGAGTAGGTCAAGGTTATGTTACACCCATTATGGCTAAAGTGGAAGCTATTGCAAAGTTCCCGATTCCTACAAACAAGAAAGAGTTAATGAGGTTTTTGGGCATGGCTGGGTTTTACAGAAAATTTTGTCCAAATTTTTCCTCAGTTGTAAGTCCACTTACAAATCTTTTACAAAAGAGGGTTAACTTTGAATGGACAAAGGACTGTGAAAAATCATTTCATAAAATCAAATCTGTCCTTATGAGCAACCCAGTTCTGTCAACTCCAGATTTTTCTAAGCAGTTCAAGCTTACTGTTGATGCTAGTGATGTTGGAATCGGGGCAGCTTTGTTTCAAGAACATAGTGATAAGGTAGATAGAGTTGTTTCTTATTTTTCAAAGAAACTTACAAAATGTCAACAAAAGTATTCCACCATTGAAAAGGAATGCCTTGCTTTGTTGTTAGCCTTACAGCATTTTGATGTTTATCTGAATGTTACTTTGCATCCAATTCTTGTATATACGGATCACAACCCCCTGACATTTTTGCATAAATTGTCAAACAAAAATCAAAGACTGACTAGATGGAGTTTGTTGTTACAAGAATACAACATAACAATTAAGCATATCAAAGGCAAAGACAATGTTATTACAGATGCCTTGTCCAGAGTATCATGAACAAATTAGATTTTGTGTTAATGTACATAAATTTTATTTTAATAATATGTTTTCATTGACATTCAAACTTTTTAAGGGGGGAGGTGTTGTGAGATGTGTATTGTTTCATTATGTATATTATTAGTAACATTAAGTTTCTTGAACATTCCAGAGTGGTCAACATGTTCGGTCATTTTTTCTAGAACATTCTTGAACTTTATTCATGTCCAGAACTTTCCAGGAATATCATGTACTTACAACTTCTAGAATATTCTAGATTTATATTACTGTATAAATATCCTGTCAATTCGATGCATAAATACTCTTGTCGTATGAGCACCATTGAGTTACAACTGGAATATATTTTCACTGGGACATTGTGTGCAGCAACGGACACTCTGATGTATGTATTTTTAGATTTTTGCTAAGTTTGTACTTAATGATTTGTATATTACTGTAAATAAATTATTGTTAAGTTTAAACTGTGTGATTGATCTTTGCTGGCATTTAGGGTTATTCTGACCCATAACAATCTTTATTACTTACTCCCCCTCCACTGTGAGGGCTAGATTGTGATACTGTCCACACACTACATCCACACAGCTGACCCCTGATAGGGCTTCAATCAACATCGGGCGGCTATAGATGTGGGTGGTTCCTGTTCCTACCTGCCCGTACTTGGAGGAGCCCCACCCATAAACCTGTAATTAAAGGTGTGTAATTTTATACAGTTACATATATCTGTAGCCCTTGTTGCATGAGGGTGATATAAACCTAACCCTTGTTGGGTGAGGGCCATATAAACCTACCTCTTGTTGGGTGAGGGCCATATAAACCTTCCCCTTGTTGGATGAGGGCAATATAAACATACCCCTTGTTGAGTGAGGGTGATATAAACCTACCCCTTGTTGGGTGAGGGTGATATAAACCTACCCCTTGTTGGATGAGGGCAATATAAACATACCCCTTGTTGGATGAGGGTGATATAAACCTACCCCTTGTTGGATGAGGGTGATATAAACCTACCCATTGTTGGGTGAGGGCAATATAAACCTACCCCTTGTTGGGTGAGGGCGATATAAACCTACCCCTTGTTGGGTGAGGGCGATTGTATGCTCCCCTCCACAGGAGACAGATAATACTTTGATGTGAAGCATATGAAGGGTCTCCACTCTGCAGGGAGGTGACACTGTGTTCTCTAGAGCTAAGTCTCCGTGACCTAACCTACAAAGAAATAAACCTATATTAATCAATTATTCAGGCAATTTCTTTTACTTAAATCAAGCAGTTTAAAAAGGAAATAGTACTTGTGTAAGTAGTTACGATGGACAAAACTGAAGTATGAATTTTAAAGATTTAAAAAAAAAATCATAAATTTCTAGTCAACTGAAATCAGGTTCCACAGCAAAAAGAAAAACTTAGAAAAAGCTCCTTTATAAGTCTAACTTTTACAAAAGGAATATAAAGTGTAAAAGTGAGATTGAAATCAAAAGTGAGCCTGTCCTAGTTCTGTGGCCCAACAGCCAGGTCTGTATTTTACAGTATACACTCGCCTATAAGTCATTTTTTTAAAGTTAAATTTTGGTCTAAAACTCTATGTCTGACTTATAGGCTGGTCATATTTCTGGATGACGAAATGTAGTACACTGTATTTTATAAAAAACCTTGTCGATTTTCATGGAACAAAGTCTTTATATATTATACAATTTATGTATTCTTAAATTATGCATAGTGTATTCAAGCATTTATACATTTTAATAATTTAATTTTTAAGTTGAGTGTGTGTTTCTCATTTTTTTTAATGATTTAATATCAAACATTGACTTCATTTTTTAAAAGTATTGAATGAAAATAGGTTAAAATATCAGATAATTGATTTGAAATTGTCAGCCAATTCCGGCAAAAGTTTGAACCAACTTATAAGCGGGTCAATGGCAAATCCCTCCAAAGTAACTGCAAAAAATACAACCAACTTACAGGCGGACCAAATATACACAAGTATATTTGGTAGCTGGATTTAACAATCCCTCAGTGCTTACCTCCCCTGTGAAGTTTTACCCCAGGTATAAAGGTCCCCGTTTCTGACCAGGGCTACATGCTGAGGGCCTGCCCCTATAGGACGGGGCTGATAGGATAAACGCTTCCTTCTGGGCACTGGCTGACTTGTATGAGCTTGCTGTAAATTCAGATAACATATCCATCATTCAACTGCAACTGCAATATACTTTTGTAACACCATTCTAAAAGTATTGCATAAGCAATATTAGTAATTTAATGGCCAGACTATTGGTTCCCCTTAAAAAATTGAAAGGGTCATAATTGATGCAGATGTATCCATAGATCATTCATGTAGATTCAGTCTTCTTAAAAACATTCCTGATACCTATATAAATAATTAACACTGCTACCTACACTTTGACACCGTTGTTTGGCTTCTGTTGTGCTGATGGACATCAACTCCTGTACAGAGGGAATGTAGCCATTGTCCTCCCTCCTCCTGTTCAGATGGATTATAATCCAAATAAAGACCTCAACCAGTCTACTCATATCAGTCATTCCTCCCTCCTACAAAAACATATCAACGTCTTATAAAACATATCAACATCTTATAAAACATATCAACATCTTATAAAACATATCAACATCTTATAAAAGATATCAACATCTTATAAAACATATCAACATCTTATAAAACATCAACATCTTATAAAACATATCAACATCCTAAAGATATATCAACATCCTACAAATCATATTAACACCTTGTAAAATAAATTAACATCTAAAAAACATAACAGTATCAAGATCCATCAAAACAAAACATCCTACAAACCACATCAACATCTTCATTCTATATCGCACAACTTTGAAGTGAAATACCCCCTTCAGATCACATAAACAACCTATTTTTAAGTGTTCCTTGAAATGTGAGATTCCTTTAACAATTAAAGCAGTGTGTGTAAACCTTACCATTCCTCCTGGTTCTCCGTCACTGGACACAGAGCTAATACTGGCCGTCCTGGAATATCAATGGTAGAAAATGTCTCAACACCGCAACTACTGAAATCCTTATAGAGTTGAAAATCACCTCATTGGTCAACAATTAAATAATAACTGACACTCTTTTAAAATTTTTTTACTAAAACTAAGCTTACTATACCAGTATTCACATTTTAGGGATTTGGAATTAAATTCCTTACAAAAGAATAAAGCATGAAATAATATAAGGAAACCACTTAGCCAACATTTTGAAAAAACCTATTCCCACATAGCCAACATTTTGATTTTAACACCTGAGTGACCAACAGGTTATAGTCTGTTTTTAGTTATGAGTATATATGGATTACCTGAGAATTGCTACAGTTGAAATGTGTAATTGTAAAAACTAGATAAATCGAAATTAAAATTTTAATCAATATAATTATAAAATAAGAGTAATAAAATTAAAGTTCCAAATTTTTTTTTATAAATATAGTAAAGTCTGCATTTTTTTTTAAATTTAAATATTATGATAAAAATTATAAAATTAATTTTATAAAAAAAGAAGTATTTAATGATGAAACAAAAAAGAAAAGTGAGAGAGTTTTGAATACTCTAATATATTTAACATTTGAGATTAGAAATATTTATCTGAGTATGTAATATTTGATCATGGTAAATTATGAACAAGTAATCAAAGCTGATACAATGTGATTTATTATATGATGAAGACACCAGCTTAAATATTCATTCCAAACTTGATTTTCACAACCCTGCTTATTTATTTATCTATTGAGTTCCATAATGTCCTCAAAACTAAACTTCTTTTGAATTCCTGTCATTTTGTTTTAATTGTCTAGTTTTCCTCTACTATGGAAAATGCCCAAAATTATTTAATTTCAATTAAAAATATCAATGTTTGTACATTTTTAAAAAGGCATGTCACAGCATATTTTGTCTTTTTCATTTTTAAAACAATAAAAGATGGAAAGACTATAAATGATCTAAATATAATCAAAGAATTATGCATTCTTTATTTTATTAGAAGAATAATACCTAAATCTACATGTTTATATGGCATATATGAGCTAAAATATGAAAAGGGATTAAGTGTAAATATACATGGTAAAATTAATGTGATCTTTTGCATTTTTTGTACTGGTTTATAACCCATGATTATCTGATGTAACTGTTCTTAAATAAATGCATCAAATTAAAATAAACTTAAATTAATAAATATTTTATTCACCTTAAAACAGACTATAGCCTACCTGTAATTAATTTCTTTTGTTCTCTACCTACACCCCATTCCCACATAGCCAACACAGATTTACCTGTGTTTTACCTGTATTTTTTTCAAAATGTTGGCTAAGTGGGAAGACACCAATATAAGAATTCCATTCAGGTGTCTTGTTTACCTGTGCCTGGAGCCCAGGTGTCTACACAGATGGTTCCTGAGGGGATTCCGTGAGGGGTCAAACACCTGAGCCAGGGTCTCCAGGTGAGGGACGTCTAGTTCTGGTAGGACGGCCTGAAGGAGGGTGTAATTAGGGAGGGCCAGGTCTGGCTTATTACACAGTAGGTCCACCAGTGACGCGGGGGGCATAAACTCCAGGAAAACACCTGTTACAGAAAAAATACTGTGGAAACAATTTGATTTGGTGAGGATCACAATGTTCATGGACAAACTTTTAAGCTAAATTTAAGCACACAGTGCCAGCAGTTTTATTCTGAGTGTTTTAAATAATACAATAGAAATATAAAATCTGTGGAAGGTTATGTACTATGTCAAGGTCATTTGCTCATAAATTAAAATTGGTGGGATACTTTATTATAGCTGTTGGACAGGGCTGGGATGATACAACTTTTTCTATATCAATATGTTTTACGATATTTGAGCCACGATACGATATGTATCGCGATATGTTTAATTGGTTATAAAATCTTTTTTGCATTAAAATAAACAAAATATTTCTTTGCAAATAAAAATAATTTATTCAAAATAGTTGTTTATATGTTGTAAAACAAAAATATTTTACTCAAGTGGTGTTAATTATTATTTATTTCATATCTATATTTATATTTAGCTTATTTATTTTATATATTAAACCCCAAATGTTAAATAAACGAAGAAAAACAGCAGTCAGAAATTTTTTGGCGATATTTCGATATTTCTTCATATGTATCGATATGCGTATAGTCTTCACACAGAATCGATATTATCGATATCTCAATATATTGTCCCAGCCCTACTGTTGGATGTGTCTATGGACATTATGTAAGGAGTGGAACACTTTTTGATGTTCTCTCTGGAAGCATGGATGAACAGATTGGGGAACACAACCTACTTTTGAAAAACCAAATAATTTGATGGGGGAACCTTTTAGAATAATGAAATGATAAACATTTGTGGCCTATCTTTAGAGACTTGGATAAAATAATAAGACATAGCGCAACATTCTGAAAGAGGTGACTAATGTTTCTAATCTATCTTTCAGAGCCTATATGAAGTGATTCTATAACTTCACGGACTACCTTTAAAACCCTTAATTAATTAAAATAGCTGGTAAACCTTTTTTTTATTTTTTCTTGGATTGAAATGCTGGACTTTTTAGAAGTTTGTTTAAACTTGACCTGATATATTTCTGTAAACAGTCTATAACAATCCTTCTAAGCAGCTATAGCCTACCTTTAGATGCCTGGATGAGATGATTGGAAAAACCTTTGGACACCAGCCCTGAAATCATGTCTGGGGGTATCACAAATTGCTTGTTCTCAGCCAGAAGATTCAAAGCTTCCATCACTAGACCCCTGGACTGAAACACATAAAGTTATTCTATTAATTACTACAATATTCAGAAGACTCAAAACTTTTATCACTAAACCCTGGTCTGAAACATAAAAGCTTTTATGGTCTGTATTAAGGTCTGTTACTGAAGTTTAATAAGAGTATTTTAAATTAACATTGTGTCTACAATTATGTTGTTGTAAATCATGTCTATAAACAAATTTTTTTTCAATATATTTCTACATGATCTACAGTATAGACAAAGCCTTGAAAAATTCAATAATGGCAACTGAAATATTTCTATAGTGGATAAATTTTGCAGCGAATGCATTTTGAGAACTGTAAACTTATTCAAGGTTTATCAATCACCTTTAAAGGAGAATCAATTATCTTAAAAGGTTTACTAATTATCTTAAAAGGTTTATCAATTATCTTAAAAGGTGTATCAATAACCTATGAAGGTGTGTCAATTACCTTAAAAGGTTTATCAATTATCTTAAAAGGTGTATCAATTACCTATGAAGGTGTGTCAAGTTCAAGTTCAAGTTCTTTATTGACTTTGAGCATTATAGCTCATCAGTACAAACAAATACAAACATGACTGCACAGGTTTACAGGAGAATATGATTATTATGTACATATGAAACAATTGTATATATATGACATAAATGATTAATTTAACATGTCTTTTCTAGTTTTTAGGCTAAAGTAGATAAATTTTCCTAAATTGCATAGTTCTTTAACATTTTCAACATTAAAAAGTTGCAATAATTTAAACATTGAAGGTTTTTTCCAATAATAAGACTTTAAGTATTTTTTACGGTGAATTTCATAAGCGGGACATATTAAAATAAAATGAAATTCATCCTCAACATAATTTGAACACAAAAAACAATATCTACTTCTTTCTGTATTACTATATCGACCTGTTTCAATTGCCAATTGGTGTGATGACAGTCTCAATTTAGAAATACATTTTTGATATTTTATTGGTATGGGTTTCCGTAAGTAAAATTGTAGATTATGATTTGCAATTAAATATCTGTAAAAAGAACACTTACTAGAGCTATCAATTTTAGAAAAAATATTCTGTCTTGCCTGGTCAAAAATTCTTTGCTTTACGATAGGAAGATCCACACATTCAACTTTTTGTTTTTCCCATAATTCAAACATACCCAAATTGCATAAAATGCTTTTAACATTTGACAACCAGTTTTTTGCATTATGCATTTCTACACACTCATGTAAAACACTGTAACAATGTTGGATGATACAATTTTTTTGATCAAGAATTTTCTTCCAAAACTTAATTATATTATACATTCTGTGGTAAAGCAGAGGATATCGTCCTAATTAGAATATACAGTTACATTACATGTTGTCCTTTTAACACCTAAAATATGTTTGCAAAAATCAAGATGATT